ATTAAATGGACTAACAGGAGGGCCGCACTTTTTATTTCTAAATGGCTTTGCAGTCTTTTGGATGAACATCTTTGCTGAGCACTTTTGGTTTACCATGGGAAAGAATGAAAATAAACCTGAGGGAAACTGGGTAGAGGAAAGAGGCAAATTTCTGGTGCCATATGGCTCTGTTTCATAGCAGCAGTAATTTCAATACCCTTTTAGTTTGTATAACCTTGCTATCTTTTAGGAATAGAGTTTGAAGAAGAAATGCTATCTCAGTTTCTGATGCTATTCTGTTGATTTGTGTCCTTCAAAATCCTTCCCTTGAATGTCTCATCATCAGCCAGTTTGTTAATAGCTTTGAGCTATTCCTGATGAAAGTAATAATGCCTGGCTATTCTCCCCTGCTGCAGTGATGGAGATGGGCAGAGAAGCTGGGTGGCATTTCCGTGCTAACAGCACAAGGGTCCATGAAGCTCCTGTGCCCTTCTAGGAACAACTCCAAGGGCACAGTTGCCAAGAGACTCCAGAGAGTTTGGCTTGATTTTTGTCTCCAAACTGGTTGTCAGACTCAAGAGACTGACAGGAACATCTGAATTTAGGAGTGCTGGTGCTGGTTTGAAACTGCAGCTTCTTTCTGAAACTAAAATTTACCTATAAACTTTTGAATGAATTGCAATTACTGTGTAAAATGTACATAGTCTTTATTTAAAATTCTACTGATATTCACTGTAGGAAAGTTATTTAATTATTTAATATGGTTTTTCTAATCATAGTCTTTGTGAGGCTCACACAATAATTGAGGGGGACTATGCTAATGAGGTACTTTTGTCCACCAAAGAGATCAGACAGGTTACTGTTAATGCAAATAAGATATATGGAATTTGTGATGGTTAAGCTTATGTGCTGGACTGGATCATGATTTTCTGTGCTTTAGTAGTTGTGAAATGATGTAATTATCCTCCATTTGGTGATCTAATGAAATTATTTTCCATTCTGTGAAGTGTTGTTGTAAATCTTAGTTAGAAGACCCACTACCACCAAGAAAAAGCATTTTTCTCTTGAATCTGGGATCCCTGTACTGAGAACCTTCTAGACCCAAGAAACAGAGAACTGTAACACCAAAGACAATAACAAGAGAGTAAGAAGTGACATGCAAAGAACCAGAAGTAGCAAAACCAGGGGACCAATATGGAATAGCATGGTGGGCTTCCTAGTCCAAGGAGTGATATGACGTGAGTGCCAACTCATTGGAGTGAGAGAGACAGCTGAGCACTCTTGGGCTGGTGCATACTGGCAAATCAGGGTGACCCTAGGCACTAATTTATTGCTGGAGCGAAGGGGCTTTGTAACCCTTATTCAAGTAAGGCAGATGTGATGTTGCAGGACTGAGGAACCCAGAGGATAAGGGCCAGAGAGAGGCCAACTTACAAGCATGGCTGAGAAGAGGCTATCTTGCTTGAAGAACTGTGTCCTGAACTGTTTCTGATTCTGAATTTGTTCCCTTTCTAACATACCCCATGACTCTGAACATGGTCTGTGGATTCTGTATGGCCATAGCAATACATTATCAAGCCCTGTTGAGAAGTTGAGAATGCCATGGGAGGCCCAGCTGGAGGCCCAGCTGGAGGCCCAGCTGGAGTCAGAATTGGTGAAAAGTTTAGAAATAGGAGATATATGGAGATATATATTTCTGACCTCTACTCATAGGAACCAATCTTGGACTGTTGCTAATGGTGAATCTCTCTCCCCATTGGGTAATTAGAAGAGGTAAGACACTGTTCTCTTATGATCTTTACACCACCCAACACCATTACTTCTTTTTTGATGACCACATTCTAATATCATAAGGGTTCTATTTACTGTCAATGAAGGCATTGCTTAGATTTTTTAGATATGAAAATGAAAATAAATGTCTTGGTTTGTATACAAACTGGTGTGGGTTATTATACACACAGAAAGTAATTCTGAAAAACTGGAAAGAACCTAAACTTCCATTAGTAGGGCATTATTGAAGTAGTTTATGGTAATTTACACAGGAAAAGACCCAGTTATATGTGTATTGATAGGGAAAATTGTTCTAAAATGTGAAACAAGGAGGTTACAACTGTATGTAGTAGCTTTTCCAGGGATGCTGTCTAGAGATATTTGATATGATCTGTGTCCGACTTACCCTCATAGGCAATACAACCTCTGACAAAACTAGGCTGTTCTCAAACTCTGGTTATAGAATTGTTTACCTTTACATCAAGGTTGGGAAAGCACCAAAATCTGCATATAGTGTGTGCCCAGGCTGACTTCAAGGGCTTTGTGTTCTGAGATATAAAGTTCTCATGAGATCACCCAAAATAGAACAATATGTCTTCTGGGCTTATGGTATTTCAATGTATGCCAAACATGTGTGTGGCAGGATCAAGTGTCTTTCCTATGGTTGTTGTTGTTGTTGTTAGGTGCTGTGGAGCACAACTCATAGTGACTTCATAAACAAAAGATCTGAACTTTGTCCTATCCTGCTCCATCCTCTCTCTTCCTGACACACAAGAGCCCATTGCAGCAGTCACCATCTCAAACGTGTCTTGTGTTCGAGAGTTCTCTTCACCTTTACCGACCCTCTGCCTTTCTGAGTATCATGTCTCTCTCCAAGAAATAGCCCTCCAAGCTACAAGCCCAACTTATGTGAGGTGAAGCTTTATCGTCTTTGCCTCTAAAGAGCACCCTGGCTGCACTTTTACCAAAATATATTTGTTTTTTCTTTTGGCAGTGAATGGGATGTTCATTACTCTTCTCCAATACCACAGCGCAAAGGCATCAATTCTTCTGTCATCCTTATCCATTGTCCAGCTCTCAGATGCATAGCAACTAATTGGAAAGACCATGGCCTGAATCAGATGCACCTTAGTCCTCAGACTGACATCATTACTCCTCAATAACTTGGAAAGGTCCTTAACTGCAGACTTTGCCAGTGTTAGCTCCTGATTTCCTGACTTCTAGTACCAAGGGTGTTAATTGTGGATCCAAATAAGATGAAGTTTTTGACAGTTTCAATCTTTTCTCCATCTATCATGATATTGCCTATTAGTTCAATGGTAAGAATTTTTGTTTTCTTGACATTGAGATGCAATCCATTTTGAAGGCTGTATTCCTTGATCTGCAACAAGTGATTCCAGTCCTCCTCACTTTCAACAAGCAAGGTTGTCTCATCAGAAAATCATTATGTAAAGACACCAAATAAGTTAAATACTCCTGAAAAAGAGAAATAGGTTAGGAGCCATCTCACTCCTTGATCTTAAATCCTACTATGTGGCTGTGGTGGTCAAGACAGCATGGTATTGAGGCAGTGACAGACACATAGATCAATGGAAGAGAAATGAGAACCCAGAAATCAGCTCATCTACCTATGGTCCACTGATTTCTGACAAAGAGATGAAATTAGTTATGTGGGGAAATTGAAGTCCTTTAATAAATGGTGTTGGCAAAATTGGAAAACCATTTAAGCAAGACCCACACCTCACACCATACACAACTCAGGGTGTATCAAGGACCTAAGATGAAAACCAAGGACTATAAATTTCATCAGAGAAAAGCCTGGAAGAACTCTAGAAGCCCTAATCCACAATATGAACAGTCTTCCAAGCATCTTGAAAAACTTACAAATGGGATCTTCTAAGAATCAAATCCCTATGCATATAAAAAAACTTCTCCAACAGGATAAAAAAGGAAAGCCATAGACTGGGAAAAATATTTGGTAATGACATATTTGATAAGGGACTCATATCTAAAATTTATAGAATACTCCAGCACCTCAACAAGAAAAAGGCAAACAACCCAATTGTAAAATTGGGCATAGGATATGAATAGACACATCACCAAAGAAAATATATAGATGGCAAACAAACACATGAAGAAATGTTCAAAATCCCTAGCTCTCAGAGAGACGTAAATAAGAACAACTATGAAATATCATCTCACCCCAGTAACAATAGCAAAGTTCAACTGAGCAACAAACAACAAATGCTGGTGAGGTTTTGGAGAGATTGGAACCTTTATTTGCTGCTGGTGGGAGTATAAAATGGTGCAACCACTATTGAAAGTGGTATGGAACGTTCTCAAAAAGTTGAAAATAGAAATACCATCTGACCCAGGAATTCCACTGCTATGAATATGCGTTAAAGATACCAAAGCTGACACCTAACAAGATATATGCACACCCGGGGTTATTGCTGCATTATTCACAATAGCAAAGAGATGGAAGCAACCCAAGTGCCCATCAGCAAATGAATGGATAGAAAAACTATGGTATATTCACACATGTAATACTAGGTAACATTGAAAAACAAGGAACTCATAAAATATTACTCAGTATGAGTGACCTTGGAATACATTATGCTGAGTGAAATATCTCGGTCACAAAAGGACAATTAGTGTATAACACTGCTGTTTTAAAACAGGACTGACATGGAGGTTGAGAGAAACTGAAAAAAAAAAAAGAGAGGATCAGTAATAAACACTGCATTGGAACAGATAGAGAGGAAAGAATTGTTTAAAAGGAATCTATGATTAGGCATTGTTTGTATGACAACAGTCCAGAATAAGAGGTGCACAGCAAAGTGAATTGGACGGAGATGTGGAAATTATGCAATAATGAATGGGTTTTTTTACGTGAACTTGGGGGTTAGGGAGGAAAACATGCAATGTGCAACAATAAATGAATGAAAATACAACTTTTATGTAAACTCTCATTAAAATTACAATAAAAAAGAAAATAATTATGAATGTATTAGATTGTATTGTTTTTGGTTTTTTCCCCCCACAGGGAATAAAAAGCTTTATTGTACACAATTCTACAGCAGACCCTGGCTGGCAGAAGGACCAGGCCTCTTGACCCCTGCTGGCTCTTTGGTCTCCACTCTGGCCAGAATGCCAGGGTGCCTGAGGAGTGGAAAGGTGTCTGGCGTGTACCAGGCCGTGGAGGACACCGAGGCTCCAGGACAGTGAAGATGGGGATCGATGAGTCCCACTCAGGAGTGGCAAGCATCCACACAGTCTTCCCCACTAAGGAACATGTGGTAGATGCTGGTGGGAGGAAACATGGCGACTGCCCCCAGCAGGGAGCCCACTTGGATAGCCACACCTACGGCCAGCAATGCCCGGCGGCCCCCACTGTGTAGCAGAGAACTGGCTGCCACCTTCACGTAGGAAAAGAGGCCAAGGCAGAGCACCCAAGACACGACCACAAGAACGGTCCCTGAAGAGGTGCCCACTATGCTTGGGCAGAGGCTCAGAATCGCCAGCGCCATCAGATAGGCCCCAAAGAGCACACCCAGCAAAGAGAGAGCAGCAAGGCCTGCCAGGGTCCTGCACAGCACACCCATGGCCAGTAAGCAGGCTAGGGGGTTGGCAGCGCTGCCCAGCACCACAGCCAGGTGGTAGGCCAGGCGCCCATAGGGCAGGCAGGAGAAGCTCTGCACCGCGGGCAGCACACCGTTGGTCAGTGCGTTGGTGACGGTCAGCAGACCTAGCAGGGAGGCACTACGGGCTGACAGTAGCCTGTGGGCCTCGGGGTCAGGGCTGGGGGT